TACTTCTTATACTTCTTATACTTCTTATACTTCTTATACTTCTTATACTTCTTATACTTCTTATACTTCTTATACTTCTTATACTTCTTATACTTCTTATACTTCTTATACTTCTTACACTTCTTATATAGCTAATGCAGCAGGTTTGGTAGTTTCCTGAGTGATATAATTTTCTGTTTCCTATAAGCATATTTTGCAAGGTTGGTGGAATTTGAAGAGCACGTGTTTGCCTATAAGCAGTTCTGTCTCCTATTTTTTTTCCTTAAAGTCGCTCGACTTGACATGGCCAAATGTTTGTTTAACTTCATCTGCGGTTCATACCCAACCTGTCGGATTCTGCCCGCTACATGGAATGCATTATCTTACTTTATGAAGAGGAAAGAATTATAATTTGTACAATTACCTTAGATTGTATGTATTACAAAAAGATGGAATGTATGAAGATGCCCCAACAATTTTTTTTTAGTTCCTTTATCGGTTGGTTATAGCAAGGAGTCATTGTTGATTTGAAGCTATGTAACTTTTTTTCTATTGACTCAATAAAGATGTTTGAAACATTTCCCGTGGATGTAAGTCACTTCGACCGAACCACGTAAATTTGTTGTGTTTTTTAAATACTTGTTCTATACTATCTCTCGTCATGGTGCAACTTCGATAACATTTGTGTTAATGTTAAAATTCTTTGTAAACGTGCTCATTTATAAAATATGGAGGTATCTGCTTAATTTTGTCTTTCAGTGGTGTGAAGTTTGGGATATGGTATTTTTTTATGCGATAAGCATATCCAATTAATTTTGTCTTTCAGTGGTTTTGCAGCACATGCATGGAGCACACCATGGCAGCACATGCTATTATATTTGTTTTGCAGTACATAAATATGCATTTACATATATTTTTTAGCGCTGAATTCTTATATATTTACATATGTTTTTTAGCACAGAAATCTTATATATTTCATTTTCGGGGCTCACTATTAGGTCATTGATGTATCTGAATTTTCTGCTCTGTTTAGAAATGAATTCCTGCTTCTGAAATTTAAAAAATGTGGTTGTTATAGTCTTCTTTTAAACAGTTTTAGCAAACAGGGGCACAATGGTCATTTTTTTCATAAACAGCTGACCCACCGTTGTTTTCACACAGCTGCACCAAACAGACAACCGGGTTCCGCGCAGCAGCTTCCCCACAGCAGCTTCCTGGAGCAGCACAGCTACAGCTGAAAAGCTGAGAAGCTGCAGCTGCGTCAAACAGAGCCTAAGATTCAAGACAACAGTCACACATAACATAATATAACCCAAACCTATTAAAGTATATTTGTACCCACATTAATAATGAAAAAAAAATTAAATTGCCCTTTTAGCATTGTGCCCATTTTTTAAAATTGGGAGGTAGTCTTCATATCATTTGGTTGGCTAAGCGCCGATCTACCATTACTTCCCTCCTAATAGGGTACATTGCTCTAAAGATGGAAAAGAGAAACTGCTGTTGAATCAAGTTCGTCTTCCCAGTTAGCTCCAATCACACGATGTTTGGTCACGGTGGAGATTGTATTGTGATCCCTGCGCTTCCCAAAACTGAATGTTTTGATCCTAAACTGATAAAAAAATAGATGAACTTCCACAAATATTAGGGTAAACGAAATTTTTTTTTCACTAACACAAAACAATACGACCCAAATACATAAATGATAAACACCTACAATTCAAAAGGTAGGTCATCTCACTCTAACATCTACAATTCAAGAGGCAGGCGATCTCACCCAAACCCTTATCCTAAGATTCAAGACAACAATCACACATAACATAAGATGGCCCTAACCTATTAGACCATATTTATAACCCATAATAATAACTAACAAAAGACTAAATTGTCCTTTTAGACTTGTACATAAAATAAGTCCTCAAATTAATTACCGGGCTAGGCGATGATCTACCATTTCTATAGTTGCAATTACGTTAGCATTTTATTGTTTTGGATTTGTTTTATGTTTTCTCTAAGATGCATGTCAGTCTTTTAGCATTTCATTAGTCTTCATATGTCATTCGCATAATCATTTGCATGCTTTATGCATGCCTTGCATGAGGATTTTTTTCCCCTAAAAGATTGGCTACTAGTTGTAACGATTGCAAGCTTTCTGCTGATGTGAACTAAAGGCGTATGAAATTAAATCTTGACAAAGTCATGGTTTTTC